CTTTTTATTTTTGTATTACAATTACAATTTTTTAAGTTTAAGAAATCTAAAAATTAATTATAAATTTAAAATGGAAGTAATATTTCTAGAGTGAAATATTAATCTAGAATTTTGTGTAATAAGTCACTTATTAAACTAATGGATATATGGATATATAGTAATTTGTATTTTTTAAATTTGTACATATCTTTTACAGATGTTCATTTTGATCACTCTGTCATTGAATGTTTCCTTTTAAAATGATTGCATTTGTCCAATAGAGAAATATGGTTTAATTATTTACAAAGAAAAATTGCAGAAAGAATGTCAACGAGCCTTGTAGAGAAAGATACCATGTAGAGGATAGAAGACATGTAAAAGGTACATGATAATAAAAAAATTTGTATTTCCTTTAAATTTTAATGAAATTTCATAGCTTGTATTGAGCATGTATTCTGTGAACCTCCTCTTGCTTTAACTCTATCGTTTTCTAAACAAATGGCTATAAATTTTTACTGCATCATAGCTGGTTTAAAGTTAAGACAAGAAGTTAGGACAAGGAAGACAAGTTGCTCAAGAACTACATGCAACATCTGTCTAGACAACCCCTCAAGTGGTTTTCATGTTAGGGGATACCCAGTTAAAAAAAAAAAACTATTTCTGCCAAATTCTGTAAACAAGTATAATGGGCAACAAAAAAAGAAGAAAAATAAAGTTAAAGGGATCCCAAACTCCCAACACATGTTGTGTTCATATTAAAGATAATGTTAAAAAAAAAGGTTTGAACCAAATTTTTTTGATTAAAAATAAATAATGAATGCATACCGTGAAAAACAAATGTTGTTGTTTTTGCCAGAGCTCGTCTTCTCCATTTTTTCAACTACTCGGAGTCTTCAAATTATGCGTCGCAATCTACAGACTTTGGCAATTCCTTTGAAGCGCATTTAATTCATAAAAGTTTTAGTATTTGACGTCACGGTAGACTTTTAACAAAAGAAACTCTGGAAATATTTTTATTTATTTTTAGTCAAAGTTTTTTTGGTTATTTGTTTAGTTTTTTTTTTTTCTACTTTTAATATTTAAAAAGATATTAAAAACCTTAAGTATTTTATGCTGGTTTGTTGCTATAAATTGTTATTGCGCCATATATTTAATGTTTATAAATTATGAATATTTATCTCAAAATTTTTATCTCAAAAATTGTTTTACATTAATTACCCGTATAAAATTAAAAATATTTATCTAAGTAAAAAATATTTATCTCAAAAATTGTTTTACATTAATTACCCGTATAAAATTAGTAACAGCTTTTTTATTTGGTTAGACGATATTTCGTTTCAATTTGCTTTGCATGAAGTTCGGAAAGTCAAACGAAAAAAATAAGTTTGAATAATCACGTCGAAATATATTTAAAACAAATTATTTTAATGACAGGGGTTCTAAAATTTTTTATTAAAAAATGTAGGTAAAAAAATAAATAACTAAATAAAAAGTTCAGTATTAAACACCGTTTCTTTATGATATTGCAACTGTAAATATTGAATTATTAACTTGAACTAAATTTACTTATTATTTAGAATGACTAAGCAATAAAAGTAAAATGCCCCTAAAATTATGCGAGATTGTGTTGTTTATTTGATAACTGTTGTTGGTAATGTTGTTATGTTGATTATTTTCATAAATATCAAAATAGTTCCAGATTAATCTGTTCGTTGCTTTGCTCATTGCTGATTTATTTCTAATTTAACTTTATCTCAAACTATAATTATATGTTAAAAAAAAAAAAAAATTATTTCATCGGGCGCTCTTTTTATAAAAGAGTAGAACAAAAGAGAAAGAAAAGTTTCGCGTAATAAAACTTTGAATGAATAAGAGTTGTATAGAATATATATTTTTTCGTTCTTTTTTTAGATGAGAGAAATAAAAGTTTAATAGTAAATTTTCTTTGAATAAATGAGAATTGGAAGAGAAAATTGCTTGAAAATTTGTATTTGTTAATTGTTTTTTTAAAATTTTTTAATTTTTCATGTTAAGAGACAAATGCCAATTAGGACACAAATTTGGAAATACCAAATATAATATGTTTTTTAATGCGTGTTATGCCATTTTAACAATTTAAATTACCATCTATCTTGAATAATAATTCAATTGCCTTTAATTAATGTGTTAATTATTGCGTTATTTAATAATAATTTGTTCGTATTTTTGTTAAATATTAGTTGTATAAAACGGGCGAAAATATACAAACTTCATGTTTTTTATTTGATGGTTATAAAATATTTAACAGTAAACTTATAATCAAAATTTATAATGCCGACTTGTGTTGCAATTAATTGTACTTTTAATGCAAAATCAGGATCTCACATATCCTCTCACGAATTTTCATATCTGATACTACTGTCAACCGTATTGTTTAGTGTATTCTTGTACCTTTTTTTCATAATCTTAACAGGTTCTAATTGGTATGGAGTTGCTGACATTTTAAAAATTTCATTATCAAAAATCAAATGTAAAATAAAATGGTATTTCCTTTTTATCCATATCCAATTCAGCAAATTTAACAATTTAAATTAAATCAGCGTGATCAAAAAAATTTTATAATAAAAAAAGTTAACAATTCATTAAATATCTCTAATTAATACTGTCAGTTTATGAAAGTAATTGTTAATAAATACTTTTTTTCAACGGGAAAACAAAAAATTTTCATAGCGTAAAAATAACCAGAGAAGTTAGAAAATAGTTCCCATCGTTTAAATAAAAATAATTAAGAATCAGAATATATAATACTGCGCTTTCTTGCGCAAAAACAAGAGACCGTATATAAAACATTCTATATAATGTAAAATACTCGTATGAAAATCATGAGATTGGTAAGTAAAGCTTTAATATTTGTTTTAAATAATTAAAGAAATATAAGTAAGACATATAAATCTAAAAATTATTAAGATATCTGTAAAAAATAAGTTGCTCCTATAAAATAAAAATAATTTATTGTTTTTACTTTTTACAAAATTTTTTTTGCGATGTTTGGAAAAATAATACAAATAAATTTGTTTTGCTGTATGTTAAAAAAATACTACAGTAGAAAAACGCAGCTTAGTTTAATTACACTTTTCTTTTGTTATAAGTCTACCGTGACGTCAAATACTAAAACTTTTATGAATTAAACGCGCTTCAAAGGAATTGCAAAAGTCTGTAGATTGCGACGCATAATTTGAAGACTCCGAGTAGTTGAAAAAATGGAGAAGACGAGCTTCATAAAAAAAACAAATTTGTTTTTCACGGTATGCATTCATTATTTATTTTTAATCAAAAAAATTTGGTTCAAACCTTTTTTTTAACATTATCTTTAATATGAACACAACATGTGTTGGGAGTTTGGGATCCCTTTAAGCTGTGATGCTAAGAAAACTACAAAAATAAAGCAGAAGAAGAATGTATCCTAATAGAGTTTAATTTGTAAACTTTTATTTTAAGCTAAAAAAATATAAAAAACAGACTTGTTGTCTTCTTCATATGTTTTCTTCAAAGTTTTTTATAGTTTGTGTTGCAAACTATAAAAAACATACTTTTTCATTTTGCTACATATCATTTAAGTACCTTTGTTTAAAGAAGTACCTTTTATAAGTAAATTTTATAAGTGTCGAATACTGGGCAACAAAAACATTGATCTTAAGATGTTGTTTTTTACATTTTAACATTTTGGTGGCTACAACCCCTTTCAAGAAGATCTCATGAGCATATATTTTTGAAAGGTAATAAGTTTGAAAACTTTATTTATGACTAAGTTATTTTTAACTTTTTATCTTTTAATGTCATATCAAACCTTTAATTAAAAAATTTTAAAACCTAAATAACTTTATAGTGTTTTTTGAGAACTAAATTTCTAATCAATAAACAATAAAAGTCTACTAAATACAATAAAAGTCTACTAAAAGTCAAAAGTGAAAGTTTTTATGAAAACCACAAGCATAGACTAAACTCAAAAAAAAAAAAAAAAAAAAAAATACATAACTGAAAGTTTAATAGCATATAAACTTTGCTAACATGCTATGAATTAGACTTTTTTTAGAGTATACATTGCTAACAAGCTATGAATTAGACTTTTTTTAGAGTATACAGTGTAAACAAAAAACAATATGTAATAGTTATAATAGTTATTATTGTTATTAAATGAAAAATAATTAAAAAATTTGAATTGAAATTTTGAAAAAATTGAAAAAGTAAATCGAATAATAAGATATAAGGATTTTACAATTATTACACAACTAAATTGATTTTTAGTTTTATTTTTAATTTGTAGGAAATATATAGTTGATTAGATTGACTATTTGATTTTTTAAAGTCGACTTCGACTTTTGACAAGTCAACTTTGAGTTAATTTAGTTGAAGTTGATAAACAACGTTTTTATAACTTTAAAAGAATAAAATTCCATTTTTAGTTATAGTTGATAGAAACATTTTTTATAACTTTAAAAGAATGAAATTCCATTTTTAGTTGAAGTTGATAACATTTTTATAACTTTAAAAGAATAAAATTCCATTTTAAATTTTTTTATATAAAACTATATTGGATGAATGATATTTTGACGTGCACGATATATAGATAGGAACTATTTGAGATTTACTGAATTGTAATTTATATACTGTGAATAAATATATATACCTGAATATTATGTCACTATTGAATGTTATACTACTAATAAATATTACATAAATAATAACTTATAACTGAAATAAAGATAAATAAAATAAACATTGACTAACTAATGTGTGACTAATTAGGATATGATTATGGTGTGATTGGCAGTTGTGGGCAGTGCATGTTAATCAAAATTTTTTCTTATTCACCTACTTTTTCTTCAAAAATTGAGGTGTGCACCTAGTGCATTAAAATAACTAAATAACTAAAAAAATTTAAACTTAATCAGCAGTACTAACTTATTATAAAAAATTAAAATGTGCACCAAGTGTGTCTAGAGAACTAAAGAACTAAAACAATTTAAGCCTAATATATTTACTTTTATCACTTTTTCTTTCTAGATTTGTTTCCAATGCATCTGAAACATACTTGTCATAATTTTGTTCAATCAGCTGTTCAAGCTTAAACAAAATAAAAAAAGAAATCAACAAAATAAGAAAACAAAATAAGAAAAGAAAATAAGAAAAGAAAAAAATATAATAAATAAATATGAAAGAAAAAAACAAAATAAGAAAAGAAATCAATAGTTAATAATTTTCAGTTTTTCTTTAAAAAAAAAATAAACAGCTTTTCCATAAAATAATGATCTTTATTTTTATTTTTGTTTTTATTATTGATATGTTTGTAAAACTAAACATATTTTCAATGTTTTACTAAACATGCAGCTCTTGCACATTTTGTAAAACAAACATATTTATAAATATTTTAACTTTTATTAAAACATTGTAATTTGTCATTAGATCCTAATGTCTTTTTTATGTTTCATTTTGTCAATTTTTAACTGTTTGTAATTTTTTTATGTTTTATTTTGTCAATTTTTAACTGTTTAAAATTATATTTGAAACTTTATACATTTTGGTATTATTTTTGTTGTTAATTTATTAGTATTATTATTACTTTTATTATTTTTATAATTATTATTATTTTGTTATCTTTATTATATATCATTTATTAAAGATTACAATTAAACTACTTTTAAATGACCGCCATATATCTGACCACCACCATATATCTGACCACCACCATATCTTAATATCACTATATTTCACTGTATATCTGTAAGATTTTATATTAGCAAGAAATTATAACGTAATTTATAACGAAATATAATAACGAAAGATTTGTTACAAATTATTTTTGTTATATTTGATACAATAAATTTGTGTTTCTTGAACAAGACTTAGCAATCAAAGTCCATAGAAAAATTTGAAAAGAAAAACAATTTTTTTATAAAAATAAAAATCAGAATGAAAAAAGTCAGATTCACATTTACATTAAACAATAAAGACTAAACAAAAATAATTTATCATTAAAGAAATAATTTATCATAATTCGCATAATTTATCATTGAAGAAAAGTTAAAATCTAAAAATTTCCTAAAATGCTAAAATCAGAAAAAAACAAACATAAAATAATATTTCATGATAATAAATTTTAATCAATAAAATTTCAATCAATAAATTTTCATGAATAAATAATGACTTTTGATTTTCACTAATAAATAACATTATAAAACAAATTTTACCAAAAACAAAAATAAATATATGTACATATACTATGCAGACAATACCTCTAGCTCTTATTTTTTTTAGAATCATTAGAGTGTGGTTATCTACCTATTCAATGGAGATCAATAATGTTACATATTCAATGGAGATCAATAATGTTGTTTTAAAAATTAGAAATAAAGTACTACCCAAAAATTATAGATCTGTCTCACTGACTTCAGTACCGTGCAAAAGAAGGTATAGAAGGGGAGTCCATTATAAAACATATTGTTGAAAATAATATTCTTTTGCCTTTTCAACATGGAGAATAAGTCATGCAGAATAAGTCATGCAGCATTAATCTTTTTGAAACTTTAGATTAAATCTCATATTAACTTAACCTTGGTTATCCAGTAGTTACCATTTACTTAGATTTTGTGAAGGCTTTAGATACAGTACCTCATCACAGACTGATACATAAATTAAAAGGGTATGGGATCATTGGTAAGCTGCTAAAATGGCTTGAAGCTTATCTTAAAGATAGAAGACAACAAGTCCTACAAGGTGAAGTAATCTTTGACTCTTTCAGTGGAAAAATTGCAAGTGGTGTGCCACAAGGATTGGTAATTGGATTTTGTTTATAATATTAATTAACAACCTAATTAATTAACAGAACATTTTGACTGTAACTCAAAACTTTATGTGGATGATACAAAGTTTTATTATTCAGGTAAAAGATAGATATGTTGCAGTTAGATTTAAATAAAGTTGTGGTTTGTTGAATTAAATGTGTAGTTACGCATTTAGGTAAAAAAATATTAAGTATGAATACTCGGGAAATCACTCAGAAAAACAAACTTAAAAAGAGATCTTAGAAAGATCATATAACAGCTTGTACCACAAAAGCAAATAGAATGATAAGGTTGTTGAAAAAGACTTTTTATAAAATTGACATTCATATGCTTAGGTTATTATATACAACATTTGTTTGGCCCCTTAATAAGTTTGAAGTGTCTGTCTGGTCTCCTTACTTTGAAGGCAAAATTGAAGCTTTAGAAAGAGTGCAACATCACTCTACCAGAATTGTTTCATTGTTGAGGAATCTGATATATGACAAAAGATTTGCTTGCCTTATAAGTGAGAAGTTGCGAGTTAGATCTCCACCATGTTGCTTGTACCGTGTACCTTGTTCCATGTACTGTGCTCAACTTGTTTCTCTGTACAAGGGTTTTGTTCGTCAAGGTTCGTGTTTCAGAGTTGGGAGAATTTTGTAACCACAATCAAAGTAACCTTCTCAACTTTAGTGGCCTTCATGGTCTTGGGGAGGTGAATTAACACTAAAAAAAAATATGCACAATAGCTCAATTAGATGTTGAAGCATTTTAACTCAAAAAATGTTTCTCTAGTTCCTTTTGATTTGTTTTGATTTTTTCTGTAATAAACACATAAAATCTACAAAAATATTTTTTTTGTAATAAACACACAAAATTTACAAAAATAATTTCTGTAAATAACGCAAAAAATCTATAAAAATATAACAGAATATTTCAAAAGTAAATGGTAAAAACTAATTTATTTGACAAAAAGTTTTATTGGACAAAAACTAGTTTTCTACTAGTTTATGTCCAATAAAACGTTATTAGGATTTTGAAATATTATGTGTGTGTGTGTGTGTGTATATATATATATATATATATATATATATATATATATATATATATATATATATATATATATATATATACATATATATACACACAGTACAATCTCTTTAATTCGAATCTCCTTAATTTGAAAACCTCCATAATTCGATTAAATGCAAAGTCACCAAGAAATGCGCTTAAGAAACTCTTACGTTTAACTTTCTATAATTTGAATCTATAATAGGAAAACCTCCTTAATTTGAATGGATTTTTTAGACCCGTCAGTAAGATTCTCTCTAAATCTAACTTTTTTAACTTCTGACGCATAAAAAGCTCAATAAATTGTCAAAAGTCTTTTTTCAAATTTCGTATATTGTGAGTTTTTGAAAAATGATTTGTGTAAAACATCTTTTACTGTTTAAAAAAAGAATCATGGCATCAAAGAGATATAAAGAAAACAATTTAAAGCGGAAATAAAACAACTCTAATGGAATTGAAGAAAATTTTTGACATTCCCCCAAACATTCTTTCAACCTGGAAAAAGAATGAAGATAAAATCTTTGACGCTTTTTGTCAAGGAAATTTGACTAAACGGGTGAAAGTTGATTCGTATTACCTAGTAAATAAAGCTGCACTTAAATGGTTCAAACGAATGAGTGCTGATAATGAACCAATTAGTGGCTTGCTAGTAAAATAAAGAGATTGTACTGTGCATATATAAGACTCAAATTAAGCTTTTCACACCTTTACAATTGTTTTTTTTAAAAAAAAAATATTTTTGCGATTTGTTTTTTTAGTTTGTTTGTTTTTTTTTTTTTGGTTAATTTTTTCTTTTCTAATTTAACTTTTTTTTTTGTGGCCATTCTTAAAAAGTAATGTTTTCTCCTAAGTTTTTTATTATGGGTCATTTAGTATGTCACGCTAAATTTATCTTTTCAATAGATGTATTATCTTTGGTCTCTTGAAGCGAAGATTTTATTTAACATAGAATGCTTTTGAATTTAAATTACTTTTAATCTCTGCGTGAAAGCCAATATTATTTTAAACTTATATTTAGTTTGATTTACTGAACGGACATCACAGTAAATTTACTTTTAAACTAAATCAAAACAATTATTTAAGTTACTAAAATAACTTAGAAATACTCAACTATTAAATTTACTTAATATACTCAAAGAATTGCAAAAAATCAGCCATATAAATGTTTCTATTTAAATTTTATATGTTTTTAACACATAATATAAGCTTCTAACTAAAAATTTTAACAAGAAATTTTTAGTTAGAAGCTTATATTATGTGTTAAAAACAAATAGAATATAAAAAACGCAATATTATTTTTGATATTTTATTTAAATCAGTATCAAGATCAAATATTTTCTATAAATATGCATGTTGTTTTTAGGAATTTTATTTAAAAAGAAATGTATTTAAACAAAAGAACTTTAGTTTTCTAAAATTTTCTTATTTAAATAATTTTGCGAGTGAAATTTAAAATTAAACAATAATTGGAAAAATTTAAAACAATTTTAATGCTCAATAATTATAAATTTAATTCAGCGACATCGGTAATACTCAGTCCATAATAATCAGCACAGCTGATTATTATAGACTGGGTATTACATAATTAGAACATAGTACAAGTGAAGAAAATTTTATTTAAATTGTAAACATTTTGAAACATTTTGAATTATATTTTGTTTCTTGAAAATAGTTTAAAAAGTAGAAACATTCTATTGCAAACAGTGATTTCAAAAGTTAAAATAAAAATTAGATTAAAAAATTTTATTTAAAATTAATAAATTATTTTACTTCTGCTTAAAGAAATTTTTAATGAAAAAAAAATAATTTAAGCATATTCTTAAACATAAGAAAATAAAATTCGATTTATTAAACCAAATTTTTTTGTTTCACTTTTTATTGCAAAACAATTGGAATAAAAAAATTGAATGAAACATCAACTTAAATACCATTTGAATGAAAAACTTAATTAAACTTAAATTTTAAATAAAACGCTAGATCAAGAAAAAATAAATTGAAAAAAACGCTAAATTGAAAAAAAACTATAAATTGAAAAAAACTAATGTTTTTTGCTTTAATCTTACTTGTTTGGTCTATAGACTATAGACTCATATAAGCATGTTTTTGCGCAAATATGAAAAAGTTGTTTGACAATAATATTTTAATTTTTTAATTTGAACAATTCTATTGATTATCTTCATTTTATTTCAAACGCGTTTTATGTTATTAATATTATAAACTGTAAAAAATAGC